TTTTGACCCAGCAAACCCTAAACAGACTGAGACCTCCCCACCCGAGGTGTTACTGCTGTCTCTGTGTTGTGCAGTGTAAGGCGAGATCATAATTGTGTGCTGACCACTTTGACTGAGAATCCATCTGCACAGCAATATTTTTTTCCCCACAGTGGTGTGAAATATCTTGGTTTATTGTATTATTACACACACTTGCTTCAGAAGCTTCTGGCAAGCACAGAAGCACACAGGATCAGTATCTGGGATTTCTGGAGTATTACATAATGTATTTTTAATACACAAATATTATAATTTTATTGGTTATATAAGAAAGGAAGGGAAATGTAACTGGTTTTTCAAGTAATTGTGTATAGAAAAGCAGAAGGGAGGGAATACTGCTTGCACATACAGACCAGAAAAAGTTTCATCTTATAGTTAAACCCTGGCATGCAAACAGCAATTAAGAACAAAAGTTAGACACACTATGCACAAATGAAATTAGAATGGGATGTATGGAAAACTGAAGACGCTTATCCCACCTCCCAGTGTACAATGTTGCCCAAAATGTTACTGTCAAGGAGTTAAATTTAAAAAGGTAATGCTTTGAATGTTGCTAGATCATCTCATTCAAGTGTATTGAAATCAATGAAGGTGCAAACCCAACCAAGATTTGTAAGTCCACATGAACCATCCATGTGAAATCAATGGAAAGTTCAAGATGCACTATAAATATTAGAGCACTGGCCTTCTTAGACTACTGTTCTTCTTTATAACTGAACTTTTTTTGCCTTGTCACACATGCATCAGGAAGTTCAGTAGTATGGACAGGCAAATAAGGTAGATACCAACAAAAAGTAGACTGAAAAATACAACATTGGGGGCTAGGTATTTTATTTTGAAAGATAACATTACCGGTTTTAACACTAAGAGAACTAAGTCTAGAAAATAAAAAAAATAGGCACAGATTTTTCTTCTTATATGGACATGAATTACAGCTTTGCCAAATTAATATGATGTACATTCTCTTGAAAAATATAATTGTGTATTGTATAGGGCAGTTGGAAATGTATATAGAATTATATTGAATATAATAAAAGCATAGATACATTGCTTGTGGCCCACATTGCCGGAAAAGAGGCCTTTGGTAGTCAGTTTCTTGGGAACAGTAATTGAATTTGAATTCCTCCATCATTTTAAACTGATGGTTTATGGAAGATTTGAAAAAATACACTGACCTCTTTATATGAAGCAAATGCAGCTTAGATTTAAATATTGTGTAAAACAAAACAAATCCAAACTATAGCAAATATATCTAACAGACAAGAATGTGATTATTTGGGTATATAGCAAGAAAAACCCTAGAATTGGCACATTAAGTGGTAACAAGTAAAAATTCAAAACCAATACTGCCCTCCAGCAAGATTTCAAATTAATAACTAAAAAAATAATAATTAAAAGTCAGGTCCCAGAGGAATGTGAAAAAAAAAAAAACCAACAGAAAACTTAGAGGAAAGTGCAAACAATTTAAGTAGACAAACTTGCTTTCTATGGGAATTTTGGAAGTGCTGAAGATGCCATGACAGTGTGATCAATCATGTGATCAATAAACAAGTAATGCATTTTTCATTAAAAAGAAAAAAAAGATATGGTAAATTGTAAAACACCCCTTCTCTTCCCTTTGCAGTCTTGGTTTGAATTCCCCTCCAGGAAATGGCACATCAAAGATGGTTGAAATTATTTAACCAAAAAAGGAACATGTTTTTTTTGTGAGAAATGCCTCGGGTTTTCTGACTGGCTATAATGAAGATTCACTGTAGATGAAATATTTCCAAAATCATTTCCTGAAAAGAGAGGTGATTGGCCAATGTTGTGATTGACCATTTTTTTCCTTTTTTTTTTTTTTTTTCTCTTTTTTAAAGAAAGCAAAGTACCTTAAAGAAAGCATTATTGTAACACTTTAAGAACTTCAGCATGTGGACAATGTAAGAGCAAAGAGTCACACATTTTTCACCATAAAAATTCATAAAATATCAGTTTGGAAAAAGCCCCCACACTCTGTTCAAAGTCAAACCAATTAGAACAAGATGTTCAGGGAGGTGGTCAGCTGAATTTTAAGTGTATCCAAGAGGGAGGTTCTTCGACCACAGTACTTCAAGCATTCACGGCCCTGTGGATAGCACAGCAGACTGACACCTGCATCCAGTTCCAGTGACCTTAGTAAGCTCCTTGTTCCAAGTCTCTCATGTGACATCAGATGATTCAATTTCTTCATATGTAAAACTTGAATTACTATCCAAATCTACTGCATAATGCACTCTGAGATGTAGTCTGTATTGCTGCATTACAAACAGTACTTAAACAGCAGTGTATTTAAAGACACCACTGTTCCAGAATACACATTTTTTAAGTCTCTGGCTTCCCCTATGGGAGGAATGAGGGCAAAGAGGGAAAGCCACATTTTACACAAACCTGGAGAATACTTGGAGCAGTTACAGTGGCCTCTGCTGGTGCAGGCCTCAGCTACTGGCTTTTTAAACACCTGGCTCCTTTTTCACAGCTGGTACTGGTGATTTAGGGTGAATAGTTCTCATTTCATATCAACTTGCTCTTTTTGTTCTGTTCTTGGTGTTTCACTTTGAGTACGTGTAAATTTTGGTCATATTATTCTCATATTTTATATTAAAATCATCCTTCCCTCCCTCCTCCCCCCAACCATCCCCCATGTTACACTGTAGGTGTTGGTGTTGTCTATCTGTGTCAGAATGACAAAAAGAATTATTTTCAGGAGGAGCAGTAAGGACTCAATCTCCTACCAGTATGAATGACTTATCCCTGTAAGTTCACAAGATAACTCCTGCTGTGGATGATAGAGCCACTTGCTAGTAATTTTAATGCTGGACTGACAAAGCGGTTCATACAGAATATATCCACATGGAGTATTAAGTGTATTCTTCCTCCTATCAACACCATTTAGCCTCTGCAAGCAAAAATCCCTAAGGTTTCTTTCTGCAACTTTTGCTTCTGCTTGGATTTTTAAGATCCTTCCTTGAATTTCTCTGTCTTGTATTGGTTCCTTTCCAGATGCATTTGAATCAACATGAATTTTCAACATGTTAAGATGGAATTTAGATAGCATACTGCTGAATAGAAATAAATTGAGTTTAGTTTGCTTGTCACAAATGTACCTCATTTCAAAGAACAGCACCTCATGGGACAAATTGCTCATCGCCAAATAGTGTTAAATTGTGATCTTGGAAATCACAGAGCTTTTAGATCAGGAGTGCTACCAGGTTTGAAGTTATGCGACCATCCCTGTGCGTGTTTGTTTTTGTTTTTTTTTGTTTTCTCAGATACCATAACCCCAGTGGGGCAAGGGCAACTTGAACAGTGGCATTCCAGATTAATGTCTAAAATTAAGGATTTCTCCAAAATGAGGCAGAAGAATGAAACTGTTTAAAAACACCAGGAGTGGGACCATAGGACTGCGCCTCTGCCATCTCTTCCTCAGAGATCTCAAAGAAACTCAGCGCACCTTCACTTTCTGACATTTGGCCAGTGATAAACTGCCTTTATCTTTAGTACCGTGAGGCTTAGCACTGAGCCTCAAAACACTGTGATGGTCTTTCGTTTGTAAGGACTGTAAAGCTGCACGGCTGCATGTGAATGATTTATTAACATTGTACCCTGGATGCTGCCCCCGGATACTACGTAGGCACTGCACGCACTCTGACATCTCTTCAGAAGCACCACAAATTAAGCGAGGCCACAGCGATGGCTATGGCTGGCTCTGCACTCGGGGCCAGTAACCCGAGGGGTGACAGAGGTGGCACAGAGCCACCTGCCTGCACACCGCCCTCAGCGGAGCCCAGAGAGCAACTCGATGTCACTGCGGACAGGGAGGACGGCCGCGAGGTGCCCGGGCCGGGCGGGACGCTCGCACCTAGGCCAGGCGGGGCTTTCCTGACCCGCACACGGCGAGGTACTTTCCGCACCGCTTAAGCTTTGCGTTACTCCCACTTCGCCCTACGGGGCGGAAACTCCGAGCAGAACTCGGGGAGGACGAGAGGAGCGACAGAAAAGAGGCCTCGGGGCCGCTCCCGAGGCGTGGGTGAGGGCTGCCCGCCGCCGGCGCGCTCCGGCAGGAGCGCAACTCCCCACTCCCGGCCTGCGCCCGCCTCCCCGCGGCGCGGGGCGGCTACGAACGACGGGGCCGCGACCGAACAAAGCGACGCGGACGCAGTGACTTCAGCGCCCCGCCTCCGCCCGCCCCCACTCCGAACCTGCCCCGCTGCCGTCTCCTAGCAACGGGGGGGACCCGCGCGCTCGACGCGCACCGACGGCGCCCCGGGCTGCGGCAGAACGGCACCGCGCCCGCTGCTCCCCCGCCCAGCGGCGGGTGCTGACGGCGGCTCCGGCCGGGGCAGGAGACGGCGGCGGGCGGCGGCCACCTGGCAGGGGGTGCGCGGCGGGGGCGGGCGGGGGGCGGGCGTTTCCTTGAGGGAGGTGCGGGGAGGGCGGCTGCGCTCCCGCCGCTCGGCCCCGCGCGGTGCCCGGTGCCTCCTCCCCGCGGCCGGACGGAGCGGGCGGCCGGGCGCCCCTTGCGCGCCGGGCTGGAGGCAGATGGAGGCGACCGCTCTCCGCGTACGCCCGGGGCCCCGGCGCCACCGCCGCCGGCGGGAGGGAGCCGCCTTCGGCGGGGCGCGGGGGCGCGGCCGGCGCTGCCCCTGAGATGCGGCGCTCCGCGCCCGCCCCGCCGCCTCCCTGCGCCCTACCTGTGCCGGGCTCGCCGCCGCCGCC